ACAATTCTGGTGTAAAGCCGTGATATGGTGACTGGGTTAAGGTGTTCTTGTATTTGGAGGGCAAAATAAGCCTGTCGTCCTTTCCTGCATGCATTTTGAATTTTCTCGGTATGGATGAGTTTGGATTGGAGAAGAATTCCTAAATGGTTGTACGTGTTAGATAAATACACAGGGTCTGGACCAAGAAACCATACTGGGGACTCGTCATAGTTGGTAGATGTTTTGGAAAATCGAAGAACACTAGACTTGTCAGCGTTGAACTTGAATCTCCAATTTTTAGAATAGTCATATGCTGTGGAAAGAATGTTTTGGATTGCTGCAGGAGATAATCCTAGACAGGACATGTCATCTGCAAGGGCAGGATTAGAACTTGTGATGTTGTAGATACCCATATTGGGACATTTATCTTGAATGTCTTGAAGTAGATCGTTTATGAAAACCAAATAAAGAAATGTAGAGAGTACCCCTCCTTGACGAACTCCTTGAGATACGGGAAACCAGTTCGAATTTGCGTTATTTACCACAACAGAACAGGCGGTATTCGTATGGCAGTCGTCTATAAGAGTCCAGAGCCGACCAGATACTCCTAGGCGGTGCAGTTTGTACATAAGACCATGTCGCCACACTGTGTCAAATGCTTTCTGGGTATCCAAGAAAGCAACGTATACCGGACTACCAAGTTCTATATTATGATATATAGTTTCTTGTAGGTTGAAAGATGCGGTGAGACAGCCGAGCTTCTGCTGGAATCCATGTTGTTGTGTGTTTGGAAATTCAATAGCAGATAGAACATGAGATTTTATCCTGCCTAATAACAGTTTTTCAAAAATCTTAAGAAGGCACGGAAGTAAGGCTATTGGTCTATAACTGTCCGGGGATTTCCATAGCTTGTTGCTTCCCTTGTGTATAGGGACAATAATGTCTTTTATCCAGGAGTCTAGGATTTGACCTGTTTTTATGATTGAGTTAAAAAGATGCTGTATACATAGTTTAAGTTCTAAGCCTCCGTAGATTATATGTTCGTTCTGAATTTTGTCTAACCCAGGAGCTTTTCTGTGTTTAAACTCACTGATGATCAGGGAAATTTCGTCAATGGTGACATCTCCGCCTGGGAAGGATTTGTCGGTCAGAGTTTTGGTAGTTGTTTTCAAATTGGTGTAAGAATTTTCAATGTATTGGGAGAAGTCAGGGTTAAAGGTACCGTTATCCTGTGGATTGTATATACGTTCAAAGTGATGTGCGAAACAGTTGGATATATCATCTGGGTTTGAGTATGTGACATCATCAAGTTCTATTTCAGGATATGTTCGAGAGCTACGGGGTCTTTGGCGTTTGATGAGCTTCCAAAATAAACGCACATCACACCCTGAGGCTTCGTCAATGTCCTTAAATACCTTGGTTAGGAAGTCGTCGTGCGCAGATTGAAGCCCTTTACGAAAGTACCTTTTGGCGCGCTTGTAGTTCCTATAGGATTCGTGGCCCATACCACGCGGTCGACCTTCACTCATCCAAATCCTGCGTGTCTCACGTTCTTCGTCATGGAGTTCTTTAACTTTTGGGGTCCATTCTGGTTTTAAGTATGATTTATATTTAGACGCAGGGATAAACTGGGATGCAGCATTGTGTAACAGACAGTAGAGATCAGAGCAAAAAGTATCAATATCATTAACACAATCAAGGTTTCTATGATGCAATGTTTTACATTCACTTGAAACAAAATCGCGATATGCATTGATTTTACAGGAGTCTGTTTTATGCCATGCTGGCAAACAATGAAAACCTTTGTCTATAGTGTGATACTTAGCATGATACTCAAGAACCATGAAAACTGGAAGGTGGTCAGATGTACAGCTAATTGAACCTTCCTCAAACACATGATACGTTTTAACATATTTACACAGAGAGTTAGTACAAAATATATAGTCAAGTGTAGACTTAGTTTGCATAAAGGTAAATTGAGAACCGGTTGCGTCGAAATCGACGCGGGGGCTTCCTATGCAGTTGCGAATTACAAATTGTTTGAGCAAATTCGATTTACATGCATTAACATGACCGTTATCTATATCATAACAACTAGCATTGAAGTCTCCTCCAACAACAACATCGCCTATGGATGAGAAGTGAGCTATCAGGTCTTCAAGTAAGCTTAACTCGTTTACATAAGACTGAATAACATTGTCTGCTGGAAGATAGGCACCAAGTATGAATAGGGAACGGCCACATAATTGTTTGATTTCTAATCCTATAATACGTGAAGAGTCTATTTCAGTTAGCTCACATACAGACAGTTTTAAATCTTTTTTATACAGAATTCCTACTCCACCTCTACCTAAGTAACGTGAAAACTGGTTATTTTCAACAATAGGTTCAGTACGTACATAGCTTAGATAATTAGAATTGATCGAGTTAAGATATGTTGCATTATTTGTCTTAAGCTTGTGTTCAGATACAATAGCAACATCGCAATTAACATAATCAAGCATATTTGACAGACTAATCGAAGATGACATAATGCCTCTGACATTCCAAGATAAAACACTAATATTGCCGGACATGTGTATAGATAATGATGAAATACACAAATAAGCAAATACAAGAAGTGTTTGTTTAATCATCACTGTGGTCCTTAGGGTTCCAGTCTTCATCACCGTAATTTGCGTCATAGTCTGCATCGTCAGTACGCGCGATCTTGTCCTGCCACTGCTTGTTGCTAAGCCAAGGTCTGCACGAGATACCTTTAGGCCAGAAGCCAGTAGACTCTATAATGGTAGCATCACGCACAGCCACGTTGATTTTAGCGTTGCGTCGAATGCCTTCTCGTTTAGGTTTGAAAAACACACACAAAGAAACGGAAATACCTCTGTCCTTAAGAAAGTTTATCATTCCGTGCTGTGTAGACCGCGGGCCTATTCCGGATATATAGTAGCGTGCGTTCCGTTTGTAGGTGACGCCCTCAAAGATGTCCTCCTCCCCTCGATCTCCTCCCCTTCACCACTGATCTGTCACTTTCATTGATGGATAGAAAAGAGGGGATTATTCGTAAACACATACTATGTACCGACACTGTATAAATGGATAAATAAATTTCGACTTAACTTATTTATCAGGTCTTTATTCACAAAAAAGATTGATGAAGACATACAATAAAAGGGTAGAGCAATAATAACGGCATACATTGTTAGATGAACTCAAATGTACGGTAATATATCTAAACAAGTGCTCTTTATTTGCAATTTCCTCGAGTATGGAGATCTTTCTGAATTTATTCTCTTTTTCTAAATGATAACAAGTAAATAGGTGCCCCTCTTATTTTTATTCGAAGGACAAAAAAAAAACTTTCATCAATTTTAACATGAGATTAATTGTTTAATCTTTTTTGAAAGATTTCAATATTGAGAAGCTAGGGTGTTTAAGTGTGTTTATCTATTACAATGTAATAAGATATTATTGTATTTCAATAAGCATCGTCCTCTTTCAAAAGTATTTAGTTTCAATTCTATTATAATTGTAGAGATCGAGATCATAGGAAAGTTTTCAACAAAAGAACAAGGTTCACTTTTGCCTTATTTGGCCCTGTGAATTTCTAAAAAAAAACTGAAACAGCATAGTTTTGGATAACAATGCATTAAAATATCACTTAGATCTTTGGTGACTACGATCCTATAAAAATGACGTCATTTTCTGGCTAGTCAATGCATTTTGACGTCACAAAATGCGTCAATTTCCTCATATTCCGAAAAAGTCTACCAAAAACGGCCTATTTTTAAAGTTATTTTTTATATTTGATATAGAGCGCAACCTCTGATCTAAAATATGCAACTAGTAAATGATAGAACTGTTTCTGAGGATTCATGGACATGTTTTATTTTTTAGATCAGAGGGTGCGCTCATATTATTTTTCTTCACTGAAAGTACTCAATTATACCGGTTTACCTAAAAATTCAAGAACATTGCAATTTCATAAAGCCAATTCTCCAAGACCTGTACTTTGAGGAGAATTTTTTTAATAGGATATGAAAGCACCAAGTCTCTATTTTATTTTAATGCTTCAAATAGAGTCAATTAATTGGTATATCTACAGGGCCATTTTATGCATAAAGTGAACCGACTTCTTTAAAAGATTATCTGAAATAAGGTAAAACTAAAAGCTTGTTTTAATATCAAATATTTTTTTTTCTGGGTTTAAAATTCTTTGGTAGTCAATTAATTGAAGATCTTTCTTTTCCGCTGACATTTTTATCGTGTTTGTAAGCCGGGCTTTGCGGAATCCAGTCCTGGCCGAAGGTATCATGATCGACTGTCCTAGTATAGATAGCATAGTGTACAAAAGTAAACATAACAAAAACAAAAACAAGCAGCGTCAAAGCAGACGCTACCGATTAACAAAATAGTTCCACTGCAAGACGATATTCAAACAAATATTTTTTTACGTCCCAAAGGCAGCTATTAGAAAAGATAATTATCAATATTTTTGCTTGATAATTAACCTGAAAGAGAAATTAGATATTTACTATATTGATATAGTCCTAATGTAACAATTTCCGTACATATACGCTGCTCCATGCATATTGTAAGCGAACATTTTTCAATAGCATGGGCTTTTTGAAGAGTTAAATTGTTGAATAATTTCATGTGTAATATCGTTTTAGTCGATTTTATTTTAGTGGTTACATTCTGTTTTGATTGTTAGCAAAGAAATGGTATAAAGAATTGGAATTTTTAGAACTTATATGCGTTAAGCTGAAGTCTTTTTACAATGTACATGTATCAGTGTGTCTACATATAGTGTGCAATAAAAGTAATCTTTGGTTGAAACGTACGAATGTCTTTAAAATAGGAGCACTATTTTAGTTATTCCAAGGCTTAGTTTTTAAATTATGAGAAAATAATATGTATTGAATAGAAAATATCAGAGATTCAAAAAGCTTAAAATTAATATACAACTGATTCCCTTACTTTAACTTTATTTCTCTAAATGTGTTTATTTTTCTTTATCACAGTCAATCCTTGATCTAGAGATGTCATCGTATGACAGTGACGAAAATCTACGGTATAAAAAATTCTCAAAAAGAACTGGAAGAGATGACACGGATGATTAAATGTACAGATACATTCCCAATAGAAAATGTCTTGAAAGCTTATGTCAAATTTTTTTTTTTTTTTTTTTTTTGCTCACCTGAGCTAAATGAAGAAAATACGAAAAATAGTTTGAGGTCATTAAAAAGCCTTCTTCTCAAGAACCAAGGGCCAGAAAAGCTGATCGGAAAAATCTTTTAAAATGCTCTTCTCAACAACTACGTGGCCAGAAAAGGTGACACTTATGTGGAAGCATCATGGGGTAGTGTAGGATAGGGGCACAATAGGTATAGAAAGAGGGGAATTCTGGTAAAGAACTTCATCATCAAAGCTACTCAGGTGAACAATTAATGTGGCCCATGCCTCATATGTTCTTTATAAAATGCTAGCTTAATTTTTTGGGGGGTCTTGTTTACCTACAAATTAAGCCCTGAAACATCATATTTGACCAAGCTAGTGTTAAAAAGCATCATGTCAGGTATTTATTACATATATTTGAGAAAACATTACATGTTGTCTTTTTTCCTAGATCTACTAAAACTTGATCTTCAGTTTGTAAAATTACACACATGTATCTTTCGTTGTTTCTGGTTTAAAATAATATTCAGGTGAATTTATATTCCAGCACCTATTCAAATCGTTGTTGTGTGTTAAATATGGAATTTTACATTCCATAACTGGTAAACAAGCTGTGGGCTTTATATAACACGTAAACTAAAAAGGAATAAATAACCCCTTCCTTACCTATGTGAGGACAGTGTATACAATTGTATGACTCATATAGTTTATTTGATTATATGATATTCGTAATCGGCTAAGCTCATTATCTTCCGTATCGTTTCTTTAATTGCTAAAGAATAACTAATTAATTTGCTTTTAGTGGCTATATGATATTATATTTTTTAGACAATTACCTACGTTCACTTTATGTTTTGATGCTAATATAAATATTTTTAGATTTTTATATGATGTTGATTATCTTATATATTGTTCTCTGATTTAAATACAATAAATATACCATTTCTTCTCTATCAAATTCTGCACTTTAATATTCTAGTGTTTGTTTGTTTTTGTTTCATACATATAATATTTAATTTTTTCCCCTCTATCTGTAGTTTGTTCTTCAACTGAGCATTTGAAAATTTGAAATGCAAACTAAATTCAATATAAGACGTCTAGCAATACCTTTGCCCGTGATTTCTCATTTAGGCAGAGTCATATCATTAAATAGATTAGAAAAAGAGGCCTAAATTATTCTTCAAATGAAAGTAGTCAGAATATTTAATATCGCCAAAATCGTGCAAAGTAGTACGATAATAATTGTCACAATTTTGGGGGGCTAAAAGCCATACAAGAATGTTCATGTAAAAGATGTATGGAATATTTTAATCTGGATATGCGCTAGGTTGTTCACTGATAATATCTCACGAAAGTATTGTAACTAGCGTAATATAACATATATGAAAACTTCGCTTAGACGATTTAATCAAAGAGAAAAAAATCAACAAAATCTGAGCGACTTGTAACATAAGATTTATGCAAGATACATTATTTTATCAGTCCCATTTGGGCCCCTTGAGGAGTAAAAAGATTTACAAACAAAAGAAGGAGGAGAATCTAATTAATAGAACAAACATGATCCTACATATAATGAGAGTAATTGATCAAAACGTATATATCAGATATACTGACTATACACACATGTATTGTATATACATATATGTTATAATAATACTTTAGTCAAAAGCAAGAAACTGAGAAAGAAATACATATATGCATTTCAAAATATCCTGAATTATGGTAGATTACGAAGGAATCTAGGAAGTGATCTTAGGATGTCAAGGTCTTCTTTAGTCATGAACCAATAAAATTGGTTTTCATAAGATAGACACTGAATTTTTTTTTTACATTTAAGTTTACAAATATTTATGAGTTCAAGTCTTTGTACTTTAAGGTGAAGACATACGAGAAAAAAAAATGAATTTCATCCTAAATATAACGTATTGCACTAAATTGATGTCTGTTTTAAATAAAATAATTCAAATAGTTATAAGATATCTTGCAGGCTCTTCACTAAATAATAAATCTTATGAATGTTGCTTCAAAGGACAGTCACTATATTTGGTAATACTTGTCAACTATTCAATAAAAACTATGATGACTATATCTTTGATATGCTCTAAGCTTGGAGAACATATTATGCAGACATATAAGCATTAATTATTTTCGTCTGATGTGATGTCATGCATTAATTATGACCTCAAAATATTATAAATTTAAAATTTCAAGAAAGTTGTATATCTTCTTTGATAAATTTGATGGGTAAAAATCGAGCGTACGTCTGTACATCCTCTAATTTTTAAAATTATTTGTAGGTTGATAAAATGAATGAAATATTTTGCATTTTGTCCTCTTTGTTTTTAATACACAAGCTAATTAGTTAGTGCTGTCACAGAAACAATATTTCCCCAAATCATGCTTTGATTTATTTGGTAAATTCAGATTTTTCTTATAATCTACACAATCATATACATTTTATTTAGTTGCTGTTTAAGCACATTTAAAAAGGCATTTACATAAAGAATTATAACACTGTAAAACCTGTAAATTTCCTTTTGTTTATTCTGAGTAGAATCATTGCAATTACCGACAGCATCAAATTTTTGATTTGAATTTTTTATATTAATTTTTATAATAATGAATTTTGGAGAAATAAAAATCAGACACGAAGCTACGGTTTTCAAAGAGTGTTCCGGGTCCTAGCTAAGAAAAGCATGCACTCAGAAAAAGAGGAAAGCATTGTCTAGACATGCACCACAAGTCTGTAAGTAGTGCTACATGTATAATAATTTGAATTATTTTATTAAATCAGACATCGATGCAATGCAATACGTTATATTAATAAATCTGATGTTACGAGTCGTTCGATTTTTGCTGAATTTTCTCTTTGATGAAAAATAATCGTCTACGCTAAGTCTTCAGATATGTTTTATTGCACTAATGTCTGCGATATGTAATTTAAGCGGCATAATGTTTACAGATTATTTTATGTGCGACATTGAGGAATTCAACTTGGATATATCGAAGTGTATAAGTCGTCTAAAACATATCATAAAAGTATTATTCATCAGAAATTGTTGTAATAATTAAATCGCCAAATCTTGAAGTAAATTTATTCGACAACATTTTTATATCATAATATCGCGTTCTAAAACAACAAAACGAGGCAGTTATACGTTTCCGTAATATCGTGTTTACATCGTCTACATTGTTATTGTTTCTACATGACGACATCGTCTACATCGCAATGTTGACAACGTTGATACGATATCGCGTTTACATCGTCTATATTGTTATTATTTGTACATATTAACATATCCCTGTATTTTCCTACTAAGCCAACTGTGAAATTAATTTGAAAACCATTTTAGTGTATATTCAGGAATGTTAGTTAAATTGCAACGATATAAGGCAGCAAGGGATTCAAATATTGAGTATATTGAAGTTGCTTCTAAACGTGTAAATGTAAATATAAGGAATGTTTTAAGTTTAGTGTGAGTTGACAAGTAGTCACGTGACTCAGAGAGGTAAAGACATGCTTTCTACCCTCCGTGCTCTTTTGACAATTTTCAGGAAAATTCTCAGTGTCTTCTGCAATTTTTTTGTGTATAGTGATTTTTATATTGACATTAACTATCAGGACAAATTATATTGTGATATTTCAGTGTTTTTGGATGTGTGAAAACTTCTTAAATAATTTGACATTTGTTTGTGTTATGTGTGAGTATCTACTCACTCACTGCTAGATACTTAATTCGCATAGGTGATCTAGAGTGCCCTACAATCAACAATCAAAATATGGGAGACAAACGATTAATCAAACCAGTGTACCTAAGAAATAGGGATATACAAATAAACAAAAGGAACCAATATCCGACTATGCCCTCGCCTGTGCTGTGAACACTGTGGCTTCCAATGTTATCTATGTCCAAAGAGATCGCGATCTATGGCGTATTTATGTCGCATCTGTAGAGAGCCGAAATCTTCTCGTCTCTAACGGATTCACCCTAAAGAACATAAGTGTCTATGTTTTGACACTTACCCTTTCTCTGCAGGGACCGAAAAACCGGAAGAAAGGTTGTAAGGCTTACAGTCAGGGGAGTATCTCTTTCTGTAGAGGATTTGTGTGTAATAAATATGCTTGAAAGCTTGGAGCTGAGCTTACGTATGAAATTAAATATGAGAAAATCCGCAACCCAACTACCCTTAGAATGACAGAAGTTTTAAATGGTAATCGTTTTTTGTATATAAACCAATGCTTAATGGCAAACTCCTACCAAAAAAAAACCAGTGAATGTGCTGGGCTAAAATGCACTATTTCACATAAGGGACAACCAGTAAAGAAGCAATCCTTGAGATGCACACATTGTTGGGACGAAGATCATTTTCGCTTCAATTGTGAGTATGAGACTTGCTGCAAGATCTGTTAACAACATGGCCACACTCCAGGAGACCCAAAATATTCAAGTTCTGAAAATGGCGAGAAAAACATCATCGCTTTCAGCGGAAAGGAGGATATTCTTTCTAACTTCTATCCTTGTGATATCAACATCTTTGGAATATCGCATGATCTGCCGAGCAAGTCTTCCAGTATAGTAGGGCTGTGCAGTCTGGAGACGTCGTCAATGCCTCCGCAGTGCGTAATACCACCACCGCTTTAAAGGTCAAAGTATGGGAGCCAAGGTTACAACATCTGATGATTAGCTACTTCAGCGTGACGACGTCATGAAGGAGATCCTGAAGGAAAATCTGACCAGGTGTTGGAATTCAAAGAAAGCGTCCTTAAATCCAGTGAATCAACCCTATTCGTAGAAGCGGCTTATGATGATTACTGGGGATCTGGGCTTGACAAACATGGCACCAACAACTCTTCTGCCACTTCCTGGCCGGGAAAAAATGTAATGGGACGCATTGTTACCAGCATCGCCAGATCAAAACGAGAACGTGCTATGCCTCAACGTAACCAGCCGTCTTGATGCGGCAATACAGGTAGTTTGACAAAATAACAATCAAGATATTTTCTCCAGAATCTCAACACCCATTAAGTTAGTTACTGAAAGTTTGCATGAATGTTTTAAATGTATTTTCATTAAACAGTAGAGGCATAAACTCTACAGAGAAAAAAACTAAATTATATACTTGGTTATCTGACATAAAAGCTGATGTTATATTATTACAGGAAACACATTTCATTGAAAAATATGAGGCATGCTATAATGCAAGATGGTTTGGTACAAGTATACACAACTTTTCTGACTCACAATATAGTAGAGGAACTTCATTTTTTTTAGACAAGGTTTAAATTTTAAAATATTAGATATTCACAAGTACTTTGATGGAAGAATGATTCTTATTATTTTAATTTTGGAAGAAAAAACGCTTACAATAAAGAATATATATGCACTAAACAATCAAGCAGAACGAAAGTCCTTTTTCGTTAAAATTAATAAATGGATAGCCAAACATTCTTGTAATACTGAAAATGTAATTGTACAAATCATCAAATATTGATAATAACGAAATCAAAACTTATTTAGAAGCAACTAACATAACTCAGGTAGT